TCTCATTGTATTATATCGAGCAAATTTTCCGCATTTTCAGAAGACCACTGAGAGTTCTCAGCTCTACAGGCTTTCAGTAAAGCCAACTTTCACTCAGTTATTTTAGTCCCTAAAAACGCAACGAAATTTGAGTAATGAACTTCAAACAGCGAATAACCACGTAGTCACGATGAGCCATTTCTAAAACGTCGAGTGGTCCAATGCCATGCTTCTAACATAGAATAATAATATTAGAAAGATTTCAGAACCCTAAGCGGATTGTTAGAACAATGGGTTATTGGACTGCTTTAGAAATCGATGGGTACGGCAAGAGAACGCCAATTTGGTAAATGGGTGGTACAAAAAAGCAGAGGACTTTTCTGGGAATGTGAATGATGATGACATCAGAAAAAATCTCAAATGCGGCTCGAAACTGTTAACATAGCAGCAGAAGTCTAAATTGATGACTTTAGAGACTAAGCAAAGAGCAGCAAGCCCTCCCACTTAACCGCAACATGTTGCAGACACAGATGGAGATGTAAATGAAGTCGGCCCTTTAGTTTCTGCACACAGGCAAGTAAATGCCAATCAATGCTTGTGGCTAGAGGTTGTGAATGATATTTTCAATTTAATTGTTGTATGTCATAGATTGATCCAATTTTACCGTCTGTTATTTGATAAGAGGGTAACGCCTAGTAGGACATTGAGATGAGTCCATATTTATGAGCATCCTTAGTGTAAAAGTTGGACTAGTACTAGGTTGGAAAGAAAGTTTTCATCTTTTGTTAAGACATTTAAAATTTATGCACATATTCAGACAACAAACAACAACAACTATTCTTCAAAATACAAGCCATCATTATCCACCACTTTTTGCCATTGGTCCGCCAGGTCTCGGATCTGATTGAGGTACCACTCCTTCGGCTTTAAATCAAAGAACTCTTGACATGCTTCTTCAACTTCATCGTTTTTGTTCGCTGGACAGTTACATTCTGCAGCAGATATAGGTAAATTAAACATCGATAGATGCACAAGAAGTAGACCTTTCAAATGATATGGAAATCACACACGATTCATGCGAAAAAACGACATTCCCATCCAAACGATGAAAATTTCCTTTCTAACCTAATAGATAAGCAGCCGCTCTAAAGTGAACTGCTGACGTTTACACGTAATGGCATGTTCTTTTCCTACCTGTCTTCTCCACTTGAATGATTGGAGCGTGTGCCAGTAATGCCTCAATTTGTTACCATGGCGCGCAAAGATGGCCAATGAATTTTGTTCACTAGAAGTACATTTAGATAGATTTTTCGTCGACTTTTGGCTTTTCTAGGGATACTTAATAATCTTTGGCATTCTAATTGGGTTTTTGATTGAATCGTCTTTCTCTGTTATGTGTTTGATACCTGTAAAGCAGAGAAAATGACAAAGTTTCCCATCATCTATTGTTAAGATATATGACAATGACGCCATTGTTTGATCACATAGTAGTAAGTTCCGGTTTCCCCCCTTATTGAATGGTATGAGATAGCGCTAACAGTTTTTTTTTCTAAGTGCAACAGATACCCTGGATATGTTCTTATTGTTATTCCGTAAATACCAAGGTTTTGAGGCGTATTTTGTAAAAGCTGAAAAGCTGTTATGGATGTGACATCGAGTGTTCGTCTTCTTCATCACTTTCTCAAGCTACTTACGTTGCTCTTCAAAGCTATGTTATTAGCTTTTTTGGCTTCTATAGGAGCATAAAGAGAAATTCGCTTTTTGAGAGCGTCATTTTCAAAACAGCTTTTAGACTGATCGCTTTTCCTGAAGTGCAAGTATTTTACATGGACAGCGGGGCAACGTAGGGGTAAGGATGCGGTAATATCAGAGAGTGAAGCACTGATCCAATCCCTCACCAAATATCTTAGTGAATTAATCGACGAACGCTTCGGAGAACATCTAAGCTCCACTACCTCCAATATTTTATGGAGAACTGAGTCGATCAAGGTTCTACAATATTCGTATGGAGGGGGAAATTTCCAAGCGGCAGTCGAAATAGCTTGTGAAATATTGAAAAACCTTGTGGCGGATAAGTTCGAGGAAACGAATCAAATGTAAGAAGTATTCCGCAGAACTGACTGTGATAGATAGTCTAGTAAATCTAGTACACAAGATAATTTACACAGCAGGTGGTCACATATACTGCGCTTATACCAATAGTTTTTGCATTCGATTTGTTCTTTCGCAGTCATCTTCTACTAAAGCTTTCGAAATTTCGCATCTTGTTTTGACTGCTACATAAGGGGATCTTCATCGTTATGATTGTCCTCGATTGATGGTCGGCTCAGTCCTTCTTGAAATCGTGAAGACAGCTGAGCTATAATAGCTGCTAACAAAGAAAAAGGTCTTCAAATCTGCTCTTGGCACCGAATAATCATTAACATTAAGCAGAATGCTCGACCTTGTGTGACTATGACATGCGAAATTTTTGAAACTACTCGTGTAATTGAACATCAATATAAAATAATGAAACAATAACTACATGACAATGCTAAAACAATCAGTGATCATGTGATAACAGGGTCAGTAATTGGAGTAAAACTATACGTGAGGCTCTGCTACTGAATGGTGGCCTAATTTGATGTACAGGCGTAGCTAGAATACTACAATAGGTTAGATTTCTTCTTCTTCTTCTTCTTCAGTCAACTTGACCCGTCACACTGCTGATTTCCTTTCTTTCCTTTTCTATTTACTGTGCAGGTACTGTATTTTCGGAATTCAGTTTGTTTCTCGTCTTCTTAAAAGTCATAGAATATTGGTTGAGCACGTCTCCGAGCAATATCGAAGATAGTCTGGCTGTGGAGTTTCATAGGCTCGAAAAACTTTCTCGAACTGCAAGCATACTAAGTTCGGAGGGGCTTCCATTCATGCTTCAGCTACATTTCGAACTGATTCCTCGGCGATGGAATGAAGTTGGAACTAAAAGAAACTGTGCTACCTGGAAAACTTTTTTTCGCCAGTGGCGCTTGTGAAGTAGTGCATAGAGGTGTGCTGCAACACACACGCATTCGATTAATTCACCATCGCATTCCAGCCTCAGCAAGTCTTTCTTCACTTCAGGCTCGACAAATTGATACCAGAACTGTTTCGCAGAGTAACAACGCGAACTTGAAACACCAGTGGGCCAGCACAAGTCATTGTAAAGACCATACATGCATTTAACCACCTTTAGCAATGTTCGATGCAATCGCATACATGGCGTATCCCTCAAGGGTTGATCAGCGCCGAGAGCTCTATCCTTTATCATTTATACTACAATCAGCCCCAAACCATTGTGCAATAGGTTTTATAACAATTGATATACGGTAAATAGTGTGGCGATAAATACATTTGAGGTGAGATGCAGTAGTAATTCATGGAAAAAATATATACTGAAAAATGGGCTGACTTATAGAGCCCGATACACGTGTTTCAATCTTGACGGTCGTATCAGTCGAGCGGTACCCTTCGTCTTTAGCCAATCCTCTCGGGGCGCTCAGGGACGATATGATATACTAACGATACCAGCCAAGAGCAATCAATGTACAACACTGTGTGATCGGTGATATTTTCACCTGACGTATGCTGTAAAATGTTCATCGTCGCCTACTCTAAGTTAAGGGACTGAGCTCCCGAAGAGGATAGACTAAAGACGAAGAGTACCACCTGATTGAAAAGAGAAAGTTAATTGAATATGTCATTAGAGGATAAAAAGGCCGCCAATTTTAGTTCGAATTGAAAGAGTAAGAAAAACAGTGGAACAGTGAGCTCACAAGAAGATAACAGTGTATCTCCAACAATAGATCCTTAAAAGGTCACTACAATATTTTGAAAAGATGGGAAGTTGTCGGTTCAGTACCTCATCGTTACACAGGAAAGTGGTACGCGCTCTTATGAGTCAAACGATGAGGGAAAAATTTGGAATATTTACCTGAATGGCGCTTTTTTGAAAGAACGGAATATAGCCCACACTTCTTTTGAGATTTGAATAATTTCTATTTCATAGATCCGTTGCAGTGCAAATAGTAAGAATAAGTGGTAAAACATTAGAGCATGATCAACCTAAAGGATGCACCATGCATTCGATCTTATCAAGAACAGTTAGGGATGATTAAGTGCACATCTGAACCTTACAAAAACTTGCGGTGGTCTATCGATGGAACAGCTTACTGCTGCTATCTTCTTAGCCGTGTCTGGTGCGAATTTTCTATCCCTGAGTGCTGGAAGGATAGGTGAGAGCGGATTACAGGTCGAAAGATTGGCCATGTGTGTACTGCTTAGCAACACTCATCACTGTGCTGCACGAACATTTGCTTGCATATTCTGTGTATTCTTATCATATGGCTTCGATAATCAGAAAACTTCCAACATTGTTTTGATCCTCACTGCACTGCGACTTCCGCGTGAACTGAATTTTCTTCAGATCGGCAACTTCATAAGAGGATTTTCAGTCAACGCATATGCGCTCCTTTCTATCCGATCAAACGTTTTATGTTACCTACTAAAACGCAAAGTCAAGGAGTTTCAGCGAGATTGATTGCGTTGATAAAATCCTTTTTTCTTATTTTAAGGCAAAAAAAAATCCATGGAATAGCTGCTCATTTAAAGTTCGTTCCTATGGGAAATGTTTTGACCATGTCTTCACTGACTTACATAATTCTGATACTGGAGTTCTCCACCTATATTTAACCTCATTTAGAAACAATTGCTCTAAACATGAAACGTAATGTAATATCTGTTCCGACGTTCAGTAAGGGGTAAAGATTGGCATCTGATAAAACTGCTGTGTTATTTCAGCTACACTAACAAAAACAGCCTGTGTTACGTGTAACTACGCAGTTTTGATCCAATTTCAGCGACTGGTTTCTATTGCGTTAAACATGAATCGGCTCGAATTCTTTTCATTTAACCGCTTTTACTGGTGCTATTAAGTTCTAGATATACACAGTGATGTAAAGTGATGTGCGAAGCTTAGGGTAGGTAGAGTGATGGCAAAACGGGCGTCAGTAGTGCAATGGGTTAGAGCACACGCTCCCGGGTAGAGTGAGATGTGGATTCGAGTCCTGCCTGACACAGAAGTTTGCGTATCACTCTGTATCACATGACCCAGTTATTCTTAATCATTTATAGCGTATTGCTGGTTGACACTTGTTCAAAAACACTTCCAAAAAACCGAATTGCAACAGATTTCCTGCTTTGCAAGGAAGCAAATAAGAATCTTAGGATGGTTATTGATATTCAGTTGCATTTAGGCAGTTCCCAAACAGGTGTTTGTGCCGGTCTCAAAGTGGAAGACCATGATAGAGACGTGAGCCACTGACGTACATGTGTGGTCGAGACAAAAATAATAATGTCTGCCTTTGCTTTAATTTATTTTGTAAATAAATCTTACAGCAAGAGTCTGTCGATTGCATTGCTCCATTATGTCATTTGAAGGTGAATTATTGTTCGACTGTATGCTGTGTAACGATTTTACAAGGCTCTACATATCAAAAACCTCGATTAATCAGCATCGTACCATGTGAGCATCAAGAGAACAATGGGAGGCTCTCTATCCAACAGATTTGATTCGGTGCGACAACGAAGACTTCATGTCGTGAGGAGATCAAGTGATTCCCTCTATAAAGGAAAGCCATGAGCAAAAAATTCAAGTTATTTTGACTCCAAAGAAGTCGGAGAATCGAGTCGTTTCAGTTTTACACTTTTTTCAAAGGCTTCCACGGAGTGTCACATCTTATTTAAAAGCTATGGCTGGCGCTCCAGCGATTTCACTTTTTCAGTGCTTACACATACCATGTCATTCTAATCCTAATTATTCAGTTTACTGATTGCCTTTTGATTCATCTAATCAACCATTGCGCTAAATTTTTATTGGATCTTGGATTTGTTGTCTGCAATTACACGTGGTATGACAGAGCACTTCGGAAAGGTGAATTAGCCGAATTCCGAAGATATGCCAATCTTGGGCAAACTTTTGGAAATAAATAGATCGTGAGGAGTTTTGAGTACACATGCAGAGGATTTGATGAAGGTCGGATTTTTGACTAATTACGGAAAGTCAAAAAAGTCAAAGCGTAATCTAAAAAATCATTTTCAGCAATCTCGTGTTAGCTCGGTGATCCAAGCAATAAGATTTGTTCTATTACAAAATCAGATTGCTTGGCTTCACGCATTTGAAACTGATCATACTATGAAGAAAGCAACTCAAAATGTTATCATTAATAAAAGTAAAGCTTTCCACATTCAAGGATGTTCGAGTCTACAGCTTTACACAAAAGGTGTGACCCTCTCAGGCATAAGATCGCGAATATTCAGATCCACTGATGCTGCATAATGCATTGAAAAGCAAGGAGATCATGCATATAGGATCTACTCCGCGCTTATCTTAATCGAAACGCCTCATTTTTCGCTAGTATAGTGTAATACATCTCAAAGGCAATCTTTCACAGCAATGATGGCAATCGATCAGCATCCTATAGTTAAGCGGTTCTTTAGCACTCTAATAATGTTGTAATTATATACTCATCGATGTTGAATATATTCAAACTTTGAACTTTCGAAAGAATGCTGAACTAACGTATGAACCTTTCCGTAGGCGAGACTCAAGTTCGATTCATTCCCGAGGCTCAGTTTAGTTATAGTATCATAACACTATTAAAAAAGGCGGTTGATCAAACAACTCTGGTCAGAAATTATATATGTATATATAATAGGTGTCATCCACGGACCTCCCTCTTTGAGGGATCCCGCCCGGTTAGTCGCGAGGGCACGTGGCGCGTCCCCAGGTGGTGGATAGGGGAATAAAACGCGAACCAAAAGCGACCGTGTGCTTCCCAGAGACGCAGGTGGATTCAGGGGACGAGCTCCCTGCTTCTGCAGCGCCGGCTTGACGAAAACTCTATTTCTATGAGTCAAGTCGGCCAAAAGCCTGCAATCAAGCGGTTGGGAAGTACATGGAAGGCGGTTAGGAGTCGCCTCCAACAAATAAGCTCCTCCCGCTCCTCCGAGAGAGACTGGCAAGCTACTCGTGAGTACCCAGCCCCCACGTTTAGAGCCTGGCAAGCTACACGTTGGGTATCAAAAATGCCAAAAACAGTAACAAATATGGGCCTCATTCCCCTGACCCCGAAAGAGCCCCTGGTACGGCAGCGCCAGGTAGGGCGAGTACGGAGAGGCTGCTAAAATCTCAGGGCCGAACTAGGCTGCCAAGATCGAAACGGACTAAAATGACGATCTGTACCTACAATGCAAGAGCCCTTGCTCAACAATCCGCTGTAGAAGATCTGTTGATTCAAGCAAGAAGAATAAGGTACGATGTCATTGGCCTGGCTGAGACGAGAAGGCGCCATCCTTTTCACGCTGTCTATGACACCGGAGAAGAACTGTTCCTTGGAACATGCGATCGCAGAGGTGTCGGTGGCGTTGGCGTCCTCGTCAAATCGAATTTGACCGTGAACATTGATTCGTTCGAACAACTAACAACCCGCATCGGACGATTACGGTTGAAACGATGTGGTTCTATGCCGGCTTTGACCATCTTCGTTGCTTACACACCAACATCAAGCTATGACGAAGACGAAGTCGAAGCGTTCTATATGGACCTCGAAAAATTCTTCAGAGAAGATCATACATTCTTCAAGGTCATTGTCGGAGATTTTAACGCAAAAATTGGACCTAGAAGAACGTCTGAAGAACGTCACATAGGGACCCACGGACTAGAATGGAATGAACAGGGTGAGAGGCTATCCGAGTTTATCATGACGACCCAAACCATCCATGGTAACTCGCAATTCCAAAAGCCTCTCTCTCAGCGATGGACGTGGGAGTCTCCCAATGGAGAGTACCATAACGAAATAGATCACATCATAGTAAATCGAAGGTTTTGCCTGACCGACGTCGCTGTTGTTCCCAAGTTCTACACGGGATCATACCATCGCCTCCTTCGCGCAACGTTCCGATTTTCGAGGAGAGGAGAGAAAGCCGCTAAATTCAAACAACGAAGTCCCAGAACTACCATAAACTGGGATGTATTCAAATCATCAGTCGGCTCTTGGGAAGATACCGTTGTCGACAACATCGACGAAGAATACGATCGACTCGTTGAATATCTTCACGTTGGTGCTAAAAAAGCCGAAAGTCCTAAGGTCACGAAGAGACGCTTGTCTCCGCAGACACTCGAGCTGATACGTCAACGTGGAATCGCACGAGCCGCAGGCAACCGAAACCTTATGTCCGAACTTGCGAAACGATGCAGAGAAGCGATAAAAGAAGACCTTAAAGAGAGAAGAGCAGCAGTTATGGCAGAAGCTGCAGAAGCTGGGAAGAGCATTCGCAAAGCCCAGCGAGGCTTCGCCAACTATAAGACCAAGATGATTGCACTCCGATACCCTGACGGGACACTTACAGCTTCCAGAAGGGCTATGGAGAAAATCATCCACCAGTACTACTCGGATCTCTTCGCTAGCCATGTTCTCTTACCGTCATATAAATTGAAAGAGGACGAATATGTCGTTCCACCGGTCCTTCCTTCCGAAATCCGACATGCTATATCGTTGGTGAAAAACAGAACAACACCCGGTCCAGACAGGATTAGACCAGAACACCTGAAGAACCTGCCGCCAGTTCTCATCAACACCCTGGCTCGGCTCTTTACTCGCTACCTGTCAGAATGCAAGGTCCGTATTCAATGGAAAACCAGCAAGACCGTATTGTTGTTCAAAAAGGGAGACCTTCACGACATAGGCAATTATCGCCCAATCTGCTTGCTGTCCGTTGTCTATAAACTCTTTACTCGAGTCATCCTGAACAGGATTGACAGAACACTGGACGAAGGACAGCCATGCGAACAAGCAGGGTTGAGAAAAGGATTTAGTACCATGGACCACATCCACACGATCACAAGACTCATTGAAGTTTCGCGAGAGTACAAACAACCACTCTGTCTCACTTTTATCGATCTGAAGAAAGCCTTTGATTCAGTGGAAACAGAAGCGGTTATAGAGGCTCTGGATAACCAGGGCGTCCCTACTCGGTACATAATGATCCTTCGTGAGCTTTTTAAAGATTTCACGACCAGAATATCTCCATTCTACAACAATATCACCATTGACGTGAGAAGAGGGGTTCGACAAGGCGATACAATATCGCCAAAACTGTTCACTGCCACCCTACAAAACGTCATGCGAACTTTAGAATGGGACGAAATGGGAGTGAAAATTGACGGTCGACAATTAAGCCATCTTCGCTTTGCTGACGATATCGTTCTCATAACACCAAACATCAGCCAAGCGGAACGAATGTTGACTGATTTCGACAACGCCTGTGGAAAGATCGGTCTTCAACTGAATCTAACGAAAACAATGTTCATGAGGAACGGATGGGTTTCTAATGCCCCATTCACGCTCAACGGAACGACAATTTCCGAATGCTCCAGTTACATCTATCTAGGTCGTGAAATCAACATGATGAACGACCTAGCCCCAGAGTTGAGCAGGAGGAAACGAGCGGCTTGGGGAACGTTTAAGAGCATCGAAGATGTAGTGAAGAGGACAAAGAACATCCGACTCCGTGCCCACCTTTTCGACTCGACAATTATCCCTGCCCTAACGTATGCAGCAGAAACCTGGTCGCTACGTAAGCAGGATGAAAGATCATTTGCCGTTATCGAACGCGCAGTCGAAAGGTCGATGCTAGGAGTATCCCGTATTTCGCAAATGAAACAAAGGATCCGAACTTCCGACCTACGTCAACGATCGAAAATCAGAGACGCCGTTCTACACGCCAGGATATCGAAAATAAGGTGGGCCGGACACGTGATGCGCTTCAACGACAACCGATGGACGAGAGCCGTTACCGACTGGATTCCTCGGGACGTCAAGCGCTCTAAAGGAAGACCACTGACCCGCTGGTTCGATTTCTTCACAAAAGCGATGGAAGAAAGATATGATGCTCAGCGAATTCCTAGAGCAAGGAGGACCCACTGGGCTACTCTTGCACGCGATAGGGAAAAATGGAAGAGTTGCTGGTACCCGCTCGAGTCACTCGACGATCAACGGGACGACAGGTGATACAGGTG